GGGGGAAGGGGTGACTAGGGGGCGGAGAGTAGGGCTGCTACCTCCAAACTAGGACTTGCCAGAGAGAGGGCTGCTGCCCGGAGCCCCGGGGCTTTCCCACAGGACCCGGAGTCCCTGCTTACTGCCTCCTTGCCGTCAGATCAGGTCAAAAGGGGACTCAGCCCCTTCCCTCTCCTTCCCCCCCTGCTCCCTGTATTGTCTTTGTGGGGCTTCCTAGCCTGGGGTTTGGGGTGGGGTGGGGGGCACTGGGCACAGTGTGGTGAGGTGCCAGGGAGGGTCTGGGAGACTCAGCCTAGCTGCAGCTGTTAATAAAGGAGGGCACCGTGTACCCCTGTGATCCTGGGCAGGGAGTCTGAAAGAGCCATCCCCTGGCCGGGCTAAATATTAACCCAGCTGGACAGCTCGCTTCCCCTCTGCCCAGAGCATTGCCACCCATCCTGCTGCCCTGCCAGCTCCCTAGTGCCCACTGGTTGACTCCCCAGCAAGAGGTTTCCCAGTGAAAGCAGTCTGGGGTTAGGAGTGGTGCTCCTTCCTTCCCTTCCACCCCATGACCACACCGATTCTGGGGGCTGATAAGAGAGGCCTCCTTCCTGCTGTTCCCCAGGAGATGAGTGCCCTCCCTTTTGGCTGTGCCCTGGCCTCCTCCCCTCCCCAGCCCGGGGCCTGGTAGCCTGTACCTGGCATCATGAAAAACTGAGCAGATTTGGAATCTGAGGAGCTCTGCCCCTGAGTCCTTCTCCCACCTTAGACAAATCCCTTTACCTTTTGGGGCCTCAGTTTTCTCATGTCTGAGGCGCCTAATGCCTTTGCTGTCCCCTCTCTTGGACTTTCCCAGCCTTCCACCCGAGGCTTGTGGGAGCTGAACAGCTGGACTTTGGCGCAGAGCCGGCATCCCCTGGGGGATATAATTTACTTCCTCCATGGGGATCGGGGCTTCTGGAACAAGGCTAGTTGCCTAGGGAGAAAAGGAAATGTCTGTTGGTCTTCTTCTGGTCTCTGGTTAGGCTCTCCATCCTAGAGATTAATCTGAACAATGGATGGGCCTCATCTCAAGCAGCAGCTGCTTCTTAGAATGCTGGAGAGGGAGGTCCTGGACTAATTGATCCAAAGCCCCCTTAAGTGGCAGATTGAGGGTCTTTGTCCTCTTTGTTGCCCAGAGCTTTGGAGGGTACATGGAGCATGGGAAGCACTGTAGCCAGACAGGGACACTCAAATGCTTTGAAGGGAGTCAGCTAGGGGCAGTGCGTATGTAGCAGGTTGCAGAGGCTGGCACTTTGTGGCATGAGCAAATACCCAGGTGGCCTAGGCTGCCAGGCCTTCTTCCTCATGTAGTGGGCTGTGGCTACCCTTCACATTCACACTTCCCTTTCCTTCTTCCCTCTCTCCTCCCACTCTGGCTTTAGTGGGAAAGTCCAGGAGATAGCAGAGAGCCCTTTCAGCATTGCTAGGATGAGAGCCGCCAGACACTGGCTTCTGTAGGAGCTGAATGAGCCCTTTAAGCCTCTTCCAGCTCAGGATCCTAATTGAGAGGCCCATTCAGTATTGGCCAGGGACTAAAATACATGTTAGGCTGGAAATTCACCTGTTTCTGGAATGAGAGACCTTGATGAGGTTTTTCCAGCCTCCTAGCAGCTCTCCCCTCTGAACTGTTGTTTGTCCAGTGAACCAGTCTGAGAGAGGACCAGGAGCGCCACTCCCCAGCCCCCTTCATCCCTGGCTGGTCCTGCTTCCAGGTCCTGGGGATGGAGGTGGGGAAGCTGAGGGTGTGGCTTTGTGCAGATCCTCGCCACACCTTCCCTTGCCATAAGAGACTGTGGGAGCCTGTCCTTAGGTGGGCCTAGGCCTTTGGGACCCATGGGGTGAGTGTTAGCTAGGCACCCATCTTCCATCTGGCTCAGTCTCTGCACTGTCCCAGGTACACACCTCTCAGGTCTACAGACAATCAAGCAGATGTGTCTCCTCACCACCGCCTTGAGCCTTTGAGGCTCTTTGACGTAACCCACTTGGTTCTTCCCCCGTGCTTTCAGGCTGTGGGGCCCCACACAGTCTGGGTTACCACAGCCTTGGAGCCTAGTGACCTTTATACATCCAGTGCAGCAGCCATAAAGATAGAAAGGCGACAGGGACTGAGACATGGTTGGACCTCTGCTGAGCTCTGCCCACCATCCCAGCAGAAGGTGAGGGCTTGGGCTAGACTAATCGGAGGCCCCTGGAGAGCGGTTTGCTGAAAAGGCCAGAGACAAAACTGGTCTGGTGACAGCTGAGCAGGGGATGGGTGCCTGTGGTGACCAGAGGGAAGCCCGAGAGCTCTGTACCTGTGGCGACAGGCCTCTCGCTACCCTGCTCCCTCCTAAGGAAAAGTGTTAGTCTCTTAGGCCTTGTTGTCCTAGGCCCCATCACTGTGGGATGAGTATAGCTGGGTAGCAGTTAGCCCTGCCGTGGCTGTGAGCTCTGTGCGTCCTCAGGATGGGTGACAACAGAGGCATTGCCAGAGGCGTGCAGGGTGGGGAAGGGGGGCATCTCAGTGCCCAGTTGTTCTCCTTCCAGCCAGGCCCTCCCTTCATTGCATCAACAAGCATTTATGAAGTGCCTACTACCTGTCAGGCGCCGTGTTCAGGGCTGGGGAGACAAAGGCCAAAGAGTTGATTGTGGAGGGTTTAGAAAGTGCCCGAGGGCCTGTCTGTCGTCCCCCCCACACACACACACACAGACTGTGGCCTTTGTTTTCTGGTGACACTGGCATCAGGAGGTCTGTCAGGGTGACTAATCTCCTCCAGTCTGGGCAGCTGTCACAGGACAGGAGAAAGCTGACAGCCCATGGGAGAGCCTGAGGATAGTAGCATGGGGCTGCCAGTCTGCCAGGTGGCAAAAGCTGCCAAAAAGGCCCCCCGGACTAAAAGTGCCTGGGCAGAAGCTGGGGGCAAAGGCCTTGGCGCCCCTTCAGACCTCTGGCCTTCTCAGCCAGGACCCTCAGAAGCAGTTACTAAACGGTACGGGGGCAGGGCGCTGACGTTACAAACCTGGTATGGTCCCAGCCCTTAGAGAGCTGCAGTCTGTAGGGAGAATCCAGGGCCGAATGTGAGAGGACAAAGGAAAGATTCAGGTGGAATCCTGCCTCCTGTGCTTACTAGCTGTGTGACCCCAGGCAAGTCAATTAACCTGGTCAGCCTCAGTTTGCTCATCTATAAAATGGAGTTAATAATAGCACTTCACAGGATTGTAGGAAGGGGCAAACGAGATAATAAACATAAAGCGTTTGTAGCCCTTCAAGTCTATACAGATGCTAGCAGTTGTGGATATTATAGAATCTTCTCAGAACATTCTAAGTGGGAGAGTGGGAGAGTGGGAGAAGGAAGGAGGCAGCCCCTGGGCTGGGCCTCCACGGCAGAGAAGGGTTTGGGCAGGTGCAGGTAGCAGAGCGTATCCCCCACTGAGGCGGTGAGTGCCCAGACGCATGGGTCAGTCATGAAGCCCATACGATGAGCCAGGCACAAAACAAAGGAGGAGCCCTTTTCCAAAGAGTTTACAGTCTAATAGTAGAGACATGTGTACGTAAATTGTGCCTCAGAGGTAAATTTAAAGTGCATGCAGGGTCCTCTCAGAGGGGATGTCTCTAAAGCGCTGGCAGCCAGAGAGCCTGAGAAAAGCCTCCAGCAGACGGAGGATGAAAGGAACCTGGGGGGAGGGGCTGCAGGGACTGCCCCGATACAGAAGCCCAGATGTGAAAGATGGAGTGTTGGGAGTAAAGAACAGCCAGTAGGCCAGTGTGCCATGACCTTGGAGTGTAAGGAGGGAAGACTGGAAAGGGGGCCGAGCTTGGCAGGATGTCCCACAGGAAGCCCCTGGAGTTGGAGTATCGGGATGAGCCGGTCAGACTTTTGCAGCTGAGCACAAGATAGGTTGGCTTGGGAAGAGACTGCTGGAGGCAGGGAGACCATTTTGGGGGGCTGTGGCCGAGGTCCAGGAGAGAAGCCTGAACACGAGTGAGAGGAGAATGTGTGTGAGACAGGACCAGACTGAGCGATGGGCTGTGTCCAGGACACTGCCGAGGTTTGAACCTTGTTTTTGGAGGATGGTGCCATCCTTGGGAGCACTTGGGAAGCTAGGAGGAAGGACTGGGTTGGAAGGAGAGGGTTCTGAGTTTGCTTCGGGTCTAAGTGTGAGGTGCCTGGAAGATGTGCAGAAGGCGGCTGGTAGTGTGGCCGCACCAGGCCCAAGAGTCATCTTCCAAGAGAAGATCATTGAATCCATGAAGCTGATTGTGGGCGAGAGCGTAGAAAGAAAAGGGAGAAGCCTGGGACCGAACAGAACCTTGAGAGTGCTGGAAAGGGCCTGGCCGGTGTGGCTAGACTGGAGAGTGCTGGGAAGGGCCTGGCCGGTGTGGCTAGACTGGAGAGAGCAGGAAGCCGAGGCGGGGAGATAAGACTGGAGAGGCAGCTGAGAGCCATGTCGCCGACGCCTTCAGTTCCATGCTGAGGAATGACTTGTAGCCGACAGAAAAGAGGGGGTCCCGGGGTCAGGCCCCTCTGTCCACTCCAAGCCCAGGGGACTGGGGAGGTAGTGAGAACGGTGCTAATTGGAAGTGAACTCTTCACTGCTCAGAGTCCAGTGGAGACAGCTGCCTATCCTGTTCTCTCCCTCCCCTGGGGTGGGGGCCGGCTTAAGGAAGGGGGGAACTTGTGGAGAAGGGAGTTTTCACTCCCCCCTTACCAGAGCTGGCTGTCTACCTTATGTGGGGCACTTGTCCCAGTTGGGCTGATTCCCAGAGAGCTCATTTATTTCCCTTGTGGAGGCTGGAAGGCATTGTTAATAAAGAATGGCCACATTAATAATAGGAGCTGATACTTCCCTGGCTCCTTTATTCCTGGGAGCTCAAAGCTCCTTATAAATAGGCTCATTCACATATACTGCTTCCCTCAGGTTATTCCCAGGAGTTGACCTTCAGGAGGAGCAGATGGAGCTTTTGTTCCCCCCCACCTACCAAAAAAACTATTACCTGGTCAGGCAACTTCCATTTCCAACACTCTCCTTCCCACCCTGCCCCCCCCAACACCAGTGAGAATGGATAGACATTAGTGCCAGGTGAGGCCCGAGGCTGGCAGAATCACCCCCAACTGGCTGCACCTGTGAGATTGAAGACTCAAACCCAGGCCTATCCCAGTGTCTCCTTTATGGAGGGGGTGAGGGATCTAAGACCCAAGGCATTATCTGCTGACCCCCCACCCCATGCCCTGCATTGTACACAGTGCCAGCATGAAAAGGGAGAAGTAGCAGCTTCCCCCTGCCCCTGCCCCAAATAGCCTGTCCATCCTAGGCTCAGCTCTGCCATATTGCTCCCTCTCCTTGCCTAGGCTTTGCCCTGGTGCCCTTTCCCACTGGTACCTATGGCTGACCTTGGGTTATGCGGCTGCTCTTCCCTGGGCTCCTTCTCCACCTTCACCTTCGTCCATGCCTGGCACCTGGAGGGGGTAGGTGCCCATGGCCTCCCAGGGCTGGGCCACCTGAGGCTGCTGCTTTGGAAAGCTGTAGAAGTCGGCCATTTGCCAGGGCCCAAGTTCTGTTTGATCCTCTTTCTGCCACTCGGTGGCCTGGGAGGAAACGGAATTGTAATCGTTAGACATCAGTGGGTCTGAAACGGTCATCAGAGAATCTCTCGTCTACCTCCCTCATTTTACAGAACAGGAAACTGATCCCCCGAGAGCTCGAGCGATTGGCCCAAGACCCCACAGTTAAGAACCCAGAGAAAGGAAGGAAAGGGAAAGAGCGTTTGTTGTTCCCTCTGGGCGAGGCTCTGTACCAGGTCGGACTCCTGGGCCCTTCTCGCTGTGGATAGGGCAGAGCTCTCACATCCCCAGGCCTGGTTGTGGCCCCCGCAGGCCTCTTGCCTTGCGTGCCTCTGCCTAGTGTCCAGTGTGGGACCTTAAGGTGGAGCGAAGCCAGCCCCTGCTGCTGGGCCCCAAGAGCCTCTGAGGGCCACTTTCTGTGCCCACCATCTGCCGCTCTCACCATGGAGACCTTCTTTAGGAGACATTTCAGGAGCAGTGGGCCGCGCCGGGGGAGCGGGGTAGCCCTCCCCACAGGCAAGGTCCGACGGCGATCCCCGGCCGGCCAGCCTTCCCCCTCACTGGCCCAGCGGAGACGCTCCAGCTCCCAGCTTGAGGGCTGCCTCCTCAGCTGCGGGGGCAGGGCTTCCCGTCGCCGCCCCAGCACTGCTCCCCCAAGCCACAGCCCCCGTTTGGCCGTGGAGCAAGGCCCACCCCAGAGAATGGCACCATCCGCTATTGACACTCGCCTTCTGGGGCCCCCTCTACTCCTCGCTGGTCTCATGGGGAGGAATGAAGCAGAGGAAGAAGAGGCAGAGGTACCGGGGCTAAGGACCCCTCAGGCAGGTGGCAAGGCACTGGCCGCCACCGGCTCTCAGCACCTGGGCATCAGGCCCCGGCTCCACGTGCCCCGATGTCTCCGGCGACGCAGGAGATCTTCCCACCTGCTCCCCGCCGACGTGATGTGTGACTGCACGGTCTGGGGCCTACACGGCTACTACCGACGTCTCAGCCAGTACCGGCCCCCGGGCCAGCACCTCGTCCCCGGGGCCTCTGCCAGCCCACTCCTGCTGGGCCACCTGCGCCCCCTGTCCCGTAGGCGGCAAGTGGCTCTGAAGCGCAAGCCCTCCGGACCAGAGGCCTGGAGCTCTCTGCTCTCGTAGGTATCGCGGCGGTCAGGACAGGCAGAGCAGCCGGGCCGCACGGGCCCGGGGCTGTATTCTGAGCGCTGGGCCACCCCGGCCTTGTCTCTGCCCCTCCTCCCAGCCTGGGTCCAGCTGGAAGGAGATGGGGCTAGGGAGAAAGGAAGAAAAGGATGCATGCTCTTTCCTCGAGTTCTCAGTTGTCCTCTTCTTTTCAGGAAAGCCATTGCCAAGTCAGGTCTCCAGCATCTGGCCCCTCCAAACCCCACCTCTGGAGCCCCCAGCAGCGAACCCGACAGGCAGATCCGGAGCACTGTGGACTGGAGTGTGAGTAGGCGGAGCTTGGGGGTGACGGGGTGACGAGGACAGGAGGGGGGACTTGGGAGGCCCGGCCACTAGGGGCCGCGCGGCCAAGGGCCCAGCATTTATGTGAGGAGACCCATAGCCCAGCCTCCCTCTGGGAAACTGGCTGGAGGAAGTGACTTGAGGCTGGTCATTCTTTCCTCCGTGAGGCTTTTCCATCGTCTGGAAAATGAGGATTTTGAAGCTGGTCCTTTTTTAGGGCTCTGAAAGCTCTAGAATTCTGTGAGTTTAGGGTCTGAGGAGGGGAGGGGAGGCCTGGGCCGCCTGTGATGGCCACGCAGGGTGTGCCCAGAGAGGGCCGGCTGGAGCGCTCACAGGCCTGCCCCATCCCACAGGAAACGGCTGCCTATGGGGAGCACATCTGGTTCGAGACCAATGTATCTGGGGATTTCTGCTACGTTGGGGAGCAGTACTGTGTTGCCAAGATGCTGGTGAGTGGCGCACTGGGGGCTGCCGGCCTGTCCCAGTCTTTCTTCCCTTGGCCCGGGAGGAACAGAGCAGGGCTTTCTTCTCTTCCCCGCACTTCCTCAGCATTAGAAAAGGCAGCGACGTGCTGGCCAGAGAGGGGCCACCAGGGGGCACCCCTGGGCCCAGAGCACTGAGCTGAGCTGAGTTCAAATCCAGCCTCAGACACCTCGTAGCTGCTGGACCCTAGGCAAGGTACTTAGCTTCACTTGGTGAAGTTTCCTCAACTACACAGTGAGGGTTATCGTAGCACCTGCCTCCCCGGGGGCTTTTTTTTTTTTTTTTTTTTTTTGCTTTTTGGTGAGGCAGTCGGAGTTGAGTGACTTGCCCAGAGTCACACAGCTAGTAAGTGTCAAGTGTCTGAGGTTAGATTTGAACTCAGGTCCTCTTGACTCCAAAGCCAGAGCTCTATCCACTGCGCCCCCTAGCTGCCCCCTTCTCAGGGGCTTTTGTGAGAATAAAATGAGGTAATATTGGTAAAAAGTGCATAGTGTGGTGCATAGCGCCTAGTAGGCACTATATAAGTGCCTGTTCTGGCTCTTCCCACCCTCCCTCTTCTAGAGCGCAGGGTTGGAGGAGTGGAACATATAAGTATCTTTGAGGCAATCAGCTAGGTGGGACAGTGGATCCAGAATTGGGTTTAGAGTCAGGAAGACCTGAGTTCAGATTTCACTTCAGAGACTTTGTAGCTGTGTGACCTTGGGCAAGTCATTTGATTTCTGTTTACATCAGTCAATATTTATTAAGCTGCTACTATGTGCCAGGCACCATGCTGAGCACTGGAGATTCAAAAAAGAGACAAAGGGGAGAGATAAATCACAAATACATATACAGGATAAATCAGAAATGATTAAAACCGGGAAAGCATTGGAGTCCAGGGGTTAGGAATGGCTTCCCTGTAGGTGGTAGGAGTTTAGTTCAGGCTTGAAGGGAGCCTGAGAAGCCAGAAGGCAGAGATGAGGAAGGACAGCATTCCAGGCAGGGGGCACAGCCAGGGCAAAGGCCTGGAGAGAAGCAATGGAACAGCTGGGAAGCCAGTGTCACTGTGAAAAAACTGGAAGGTCGGAGGGAGCTAGGTGGTGAAGGGCTTTGAATGCCAAACAGAGCATCTTGTGTTTGATCCTGGAGGCAATAGAGAGCCACTGTGGAGTCTCTTGAGTAGGAGGGCGGGAGGATGTCATTCACTTTAGGAACATCACTGTGGTGGCTGAATGGAGGAGGGACTGGAGTGGGGGAGATGATACAGGCAGACTCCCCCAGCAGCTAGTGGAGTAGTCCAGGCCTGAAGGGATGAGGGTCTGCACCAGTGTCTTCTGACAGTGTCAGAAGAGAGAGATGCTACAGGGGTGAGATCCAGAGGCCTTGGGAGGAGTCCAGGGTGACTCCTGGGTTGTGACTCTGGGGGACTGGGAGGATGGTGTTGGCCTCTGGAGTCATAGGACAGGTGGGGGCAGGGTTTAGGGGGAAGGAGAATGAGTTCAGGTTTAGACAGTAGTTGGAGGTGTGAGATTGGAGGCCAGCAGAGGGGCTGGGGCAGGAGAGGTGGATCTGTGAATCGTCCCCATAGAGATGGAATTCAATCCATGGGAGCTGATGAGATCAGCAAGTGAAACAAACTAGAGGGAGAAGAGAAGAGGGCCCAGGGGTTAGAGGGCCTCATCTGGAGGAGGGTCCAGCAAAGAAGACAGAGGAGGAGCGGTCAGACAAGAAAGGAGGAGCGGGAGGACTTCAGAAAAACCTGGAAAGACTTGCATGGACTGATGCTGAGTGACATGAGCAGAACCAAGAGAACGTTGTGCACAGTAACAGCCACATTGTGTGATGACTGATGTTGATAGACTTAACCCTTCTCAGCAGTACAAGGATCTAAGACATCTCCAAAGGCCTCATGACGGAAAATGTTATCCACATCCAAAGAAAGGACTGTGGAGTTTGAATGCAGATCGAAGCATCCTGTCTGCTCTCCTTTTCTTTTGTTTTGTTTTGCTTCTTCTTTCTTGTGGTTCCTCCTATTGGTTCTAATTCTTCTTTACAGCATGACTAATGTGAAACTATGCTTAATATAAATGTATACGTAGGGCCTATATCACATTGTACTCCTGATTCCTGTATTCTCTCCTGAGGGGAGGGGGGGGTTTAAAACTCAAAATCTTATGGAAGTGAATGTTGAAAACCAAAAATAATTATTAAAAAAAAGAAAAAAAGAAAAGGAGCCATCAGAGAGGGAGGAGGATAACCAGGAGAGAGAGAGAGAGAGAGAGAAAGAAAGGAGAAAGGGGCCAGCAGTGTCAGAGGCCGCAGAGAGGGTAAGGAGAATGGGGATTGAGAGAAGGCTATTGACTTTGGCTTCTGAGGTCATTGGTAGGCACCTTTGGTAGAATGGTAAGGTCAGGAACCGGCTTGTGACCGCTTAAGAAGAGAGTATGAGGAGAGCCGCTAGGGGGCGCCATGGTGCACTGAGTGCTGGGCCTGGAGTTAGGAAGACTCATCTTCCTGAGTTTAAGTTGGCGTAAGACAATTTAAGTACTAGCTGTGTGTCCCTGGGCAAGTCACCTAACCCTGTTTGCCTCAGTTTCCTCATCTGTAAAGTGAGCTGGAGAAGGAAACCGCAAACTGCTCCAGTATCTATGCCAAGAAAACCCCAGATGGGGTCACGAAGAGTTGGACACGACTGAAAAAGGACTAACCGACAACAAAGTGGGGAGACGGGGATGTGTCATAGATGATCTGTTTGAGGAGTTTAGCTGCAAGAGGCAGAAGAACTCTAAGAGAGTAGCTGGCTGGGACAGAAGGATCAAGTAAGGGGCTTGGGAGGATGAGGAGACCTGGCCTGTTTGTAGGCAGGAGGGCAACAGCCAGGAGAGAGATTGGAGATGTGATGCGGTGGGGATGGCCGAGGGGCTAGTCTGTTGGAGGAGGTAGGATGGGGTGGGATCCTGGTGCTGGTCGAGGGGTTAGCCTGGGTGAGGAGGAAGACCTCCTCGTCATGAGACGGGAGCAAAGGAGGTGAGGAAGGCAGAAGGCACCGGAATTTCAGGAGATAAGGTGGTAGATGAGGAAACGGAGGGGAGGGGACCTGTCTGTGGGCACATAGCAAGAGTCAGAGGAAAGACTGGAACTTGGGGCCCTGTCCACTGTGCCACACTGCCTGGCCCTGGAGTCCAGTCTGGAGCCCTCGGTTCAGACCTCCCTCCATATAAGCTGTGGGGCCCTAGGTAGGCCGCCCCACGCCCCTGAGCCTCAGTGTCAGTGGGGGTGAAGTCTCTGCTCCCTGCTTCATAGGTCAGTTATGAGGAAACAGCTTTGCAAGCCAAAAACTGCTGTAGAAATGTGATTGGTTCCCTTCTGTCCCACTGACCTCAGTGCCCTTCCTTCCTGCAGCAGAAATCAGTGTCTCGACGAAAGTGTGCCGCCTGCAAGATTGTTGTGCACACGCCTTGCATTGGGCAGCTGGAGAAGGTGACCATGGGCCTCCTTGGATGGGGCTGGGGTTTGGGCCCGGGGATCCCCAGCCACTGCTGCCTCCTCTCTGGGACCCAGGAAAGGAGGCCGAGTATCGGCTAGCGGGGGCAGAAAAGACCAGCCAAATAGCAGGGGATATAAGCGAGGCTGATGTAGAAGCTGGTGTGTGCGTGTGTGCGTGTGCATGTGCATGCGTGTGAGTGTGTACCAGTGTGTGCATGCCAGGAGGGCCCCGGGCAGGCCGAAGCCGAGCCGAGCACAAGAGGGCCTTGGGGCAGCAGCAGCAACTGCAAAGCCCTGGCCCCCTGGGTTAGGGATACAGGGAAGCTGGGGGAGGGGGTGCTCAGCTGTGCCCCTGAGTCCCTTGAAGTGACTTAAGCCCCTCTCTGGGCCTCAGTTTCCATATCTACCAAAAGAAGGGAATGATCCATGTGCCACCTCTCTGCTGGCTTCATGAACCCCATAGCCTGTGCAGTTGGGAGCCTCGGTTATCCCTCAGACTCGGTACCCCAAGAAGCTTCACTCCAAATAACACAAGAATGAGGTTCCTTCCTGGATGACAGCCAGGAGAATTGGACGTTGGGCAGCGTTCTTCCCTCTCAGGAGGGAAGATGTGGCCGCCTGTGCTCGCCTCCCCTGGAGGTCCCAGGACCAGCCCGGCCATCATCCTCATGTTTTTATGTCATGTGGTCCTTTGCAGATTAACTTCCGCTGTAAGCCATCCTTCCGGGAATCAGGGTCCAGGAACGTGCGGGAGGTGAGGACCTCAGGGGGGATGGGAGCTGCGGTGGGCATCCCGGGGGCTCTCCAGCTCCCACCAGCCTGGGAGAAAGGCTGGGGATTCCTGAGCCGAGAGCATGAGCTGAGATGCCCATTCGAGGGCCCTGAGACCCTTCCTGGGCAGGGTGAAGAGGGCCGCACCCCGGGGCACGTGGCCTGTCTCCCTGGGCACATGGCTTCAGCTCCCTGGGCACAACTGAAGACACACGGAATTGGGCATCAGAGGCCTGGCGTGAAAGCCTGGATTTCCCGCTTGTATAGCTTGGGGCACAGCACCTCCTGGGGATTTCTGACTTGCTGGGGCTGCAGATCTCCCTGCGCTGTGCCCCTAGCCCCCTCCTCTCCTGGACTGGCAGCCCAGGCGATGAGATGAGCCCACCTCTGCCCCTTGGGTTGAGGTCGGGGCAGTCCCCCAGCCCTGCTCAGGGCTGTGACCTCTTCTACCTCCCCTGCTCTCTCCAGCCAACTTTTGTGCGTCACCACTGGGTACATCGGCGGCGCCAGGATGGCAAATGCCGACACTGTGGCAAGGTGAGTGGAGCGCCCTGGGTTCGCCCCTGCTGGCAGAAACAGGCTCGCAGTCTGTTCCTAGGTAGAGCTCCCAGGGGAGGGAGGGACACCCTGCTGTCCTGCAGCAGGCGCACAGTAGGTCAGGCCAACTTGACTTTGGGTCACTGGGGCAGGGTGGCGACTGGAAGCAGAGGACAGAGCTTGGAATCCTGCCTCTTAGTGTCTACGCACAGGTTTGGTGGGGCAGGCAATGGCTTACTGGGCTTGTGGGTGAGAAGACCTGAGTTCAGATCCTCCCTCAGATACCTGGTAGCCGAGTGACCCTGAGCAAGTCACTTGTCCTCTGCCTGCCTCAGTTTCCTTCTCTATAAAATGGGGGTGATAACATCAGCTACCTCCCAGGGATGTTGTGAGGATGAAGTGAGATACTGTTTGTAAAGCTTTTAGGATAGTGGCTGCACATAGTAGGTACTGTGGAATTGCTTCCCCACACTTCCTCTTTGGGGACCTCAGTTTCTTCCTGTGTGGAATGTGATTCCAGAAAATAGAAATCATCTCAGGTCTGACATCCTGTGACTCGAGGAAGCGGCCTGAGAGAATGGACACGGGCCACCTCCTGGAGTCAGCCCCGACTGACCTCTCCCTGCTTCCCTCCAGGGTTTCCAGCAGAAGTTCACTTTCCACAGCAAAGAGATCGTGGCCATCAGCTGCTCATGGTGTAAGCAGGCAGTGAGTAACTCATCTTGTCCTCTTCCTGCCCTGGCCCGCAGGAGGCCCGACCTTCAGAGTCAGTGCCCTCTCTCTCCCTCCGCAGTACCACAACAAGGTGTCCTGTTTCATGATCCAGCAGATTGAGGAGCCCTGCTCTCTGGGGGCCCATGCTGCGGTGGTCATCCCCCCCACCTGGATCCTCCGGGCCCGGCGCCCGCAGGTGAAGCCTGCCCCTTCCTGAGCCTGGGGCTGGGGCTGCGGTTTGTGGGGGTGATGCTGACAGCCCTGCTCCCTCCCTCTCGCAGAACCCACTCAAGGTCAGCAAAAAGAAGAAGAGGGCGTCTTTCAAGAGGAAATCAAGCAAGAAAGGGCCTGAGGTAGAGCCGGCGTTTGCCCGCCCTCTGTGCTCGCTAGCGGGGCGGCCTTGGGCAGGTCGCTCCTCCAAGCCTCATCTGTGAAATGGGCTCTGGCCCGCTCTGCCTGCTTCACAGGCTGTCTGTTGTGCAGACGCGCAGACTGGCTTGTCGAGGGGCTGAGGCTGCAGGTGGCTGCTTCTGGCTGCTGTGGTGTGGGGGCTGCTGGGAAGGAGGGCCAGAGGCCTGGAGGGCTCTCTGCACCTTCACTGTCTTGCAGGAGGGCCGCTGGAAACCTTTCATCATCAAACCTACCCCATCCCCCCTCATGAAGCCCCTGCTGGTGTTTGTGAACCCCAAGAGTGGGGGCAATCAGGTAAGGCCCAGGCCAGGAGCCTCTGCCCTCCTCCCCCCGTGGGCCCAAACGCTGTTACTTTTTGGTGGTGAAAGAGAAGGTGACCCGGGGGCAGATTCCCCTCCAGCCCAGTTCCCAAGTCTTTCCTCTGTTTTTACCTCCACCGTCCTCCAGTTCTTTCTCTCCAGGCCCTCTCCCCACCTTCTGTTTCCCCCAGGGTTCTAAGATCATCCAGTCCTTTCTTTGGTATCTCAACCCACGGCAAGTCTTTGACCTGAGCCAGGGTGGGCCCAAGGAGGCGTGAGTACCTGGGTGTCTGTGGGGTAGGACTCACGTGGGGTCAGTGGAGAGCTGGTGGTCTCTGCAGGTCTGGGGCCACTGTCTTCTGCTTTCTTCAGTTCCTCTGCCCTGCCTTTAACCCACAGGTTGGAGATGTACCGGAAGGTGCACAACCTTCGCATCCTGGCGTGCGGGGGCGACGGCACGGTGAGTTCACACGCACACCTCCGTGAGCCTCCTGGCGGCCGTTGGGCTGGGGCTGCAGGCATGGGGGAGGCTGGGCCTGGGCCTGAGGCACGCTCTCCCCTCCTTCCCCCTCAGGTTGGCTGGATCCTCTCCACCCTGGACCAGCTGCGCCTGAAGCCCCCGCCACCTGTGGCCATCCTACCCCTCGGCACCGGCAATGACCTGGCCCGGACCCTCAACTGGGGTGGGGTGAGAGCTTGGGGCAGGGCATGAGTGCAAGGGGCAGAGAGGTGGTACTGAGAAGAGGGTCACTGTGGCTGCAGCCTGGCAGCCGTCTCACGCTCCTGCTCCCTGGCTCCTCAGGGCTACACGGATGAGCCGGTGTCCAAGATCCTGTCCCACGTGGAGGAGGGCAACGTCGTGCAGCTGGACCGATGGGACCTGCGAGCGGAGCCCAATCTGGAGGCGGGGCCTGACGACCGGGACGAGGGGGCCACTGACAGGGTCAGCCCAGCCTTCCCCAGGAGCAGCCCCTTGGTGGTTTGTGGGTGTGTTTTATCTATGGCTTTTGTCTCTTTGACGGCACTATCTTCCTGACGTACACTTCTCCCTTTGTCTTCTGTGTAGCTGCCCCTGGATGTCTTTAACAATTACTTCAGCCTTGGCTTTGATGCCCACGTCACCCTGGAATTTCATGAGTCTCGAGGTTGGTGACTTTCAAATTGCCTTATCCTGATAAGGATAAGGGGCAGTCAGGAAAAGGGGCAGGGGGAGCATGTTGCCCTGGGAGGCAGGAGGGGGGCTGCTCTGGGGGCTCCAGGTGGGAGAGGACTCTGGGGCATGCCTCCCTGAGAGGGAATTGTGGGCCCCAGTGACCCTCATCTTTCTCTTCTCTGCTCGTACAGAGGCCAATCCAGAAAAATTCAATAGCCGGTTTCGGAACAAGATGTTCTATGCTGGGGTAAGCTGGGGCTTGGCAGTGCCCCTTGAGTGCCCCCCTCGGCCATCCCTCCTGTGTGGGTGGCCTATGGCACCATCTTGTGGACACCCATCACATCAGCCATGACACCCCCAGCCCAGGGTTTCAGGCCCCACCAGAGTGACCCCCCTCCATGGTCCCTGGGCCACGTTGTTTCCTGTCTTGCCCAGCAGAGGCTTCCCTCGCCTCATGTCAGCCCTGGTGTCCATGAAACAAACAGCTCACTTCTCCGTGCCTCTGAAAGGTTTACACCAACCCCGTGAAGTACAGCCTGAGGGTCCTGTCCCCATTTTATAGATGAAGAAATAGAGACTGAGAGAGAGAGCAGCACCAGTACATGGTGGAGCTGAGAGTCCCAAGTCCAGTGCACTCACCCCGTGGTCTCCTGGCCATGGGGCCCTTGTGCCAGCTCCCTGGGCTTCCCCGGGGTGGAGGCCTCCGAGGAGCAGGCGTGACTACTTCTTTCTGCTGTTGACAGACGGCCTTTTCTGACTTCCTCATGGGCAGCTCCAAAGACTTGGCCAAGCACATCCGAGTGGTGGTGAGTCTCCTTCTGCCTCCCCTTGGCCCCTCAGCTGGGCACCCTGCTCACGGTCCACCAGGAGACCCGTCACTCAGACCCAGGGAGCCAGGGAGGGATCTCCTGAGGAACAGGGAGAGCAGCCCCTCTGCCGACCCCCTCACCCACACTGAGGCTGTTACAGTGTGATGGCACAGACCTGACCCCCAAGATCCAGGACCTGAAGCCCCAGTGCATCGTCTTCCTGAATATCCCCAGGTGAGAAAAACCACTGGTGGTCCTCAGCCTTGCTCTCTGAACCCTCGAATCGGCCCCTCACTGTCTGTCCCCCATAGGTATTGTGCAGGCACCATGCCCTGGGGTCACCCCGGAGACCACCATGACTTTGAGCCCCAGCGGCATGACGACGGCTACCTCGAGGTCATTGGCTTCACCATGACGTCACTGGTGAGAAGGGCTGTGGGCCCCCAGAGCACCCGGGCGCGGGCCCAAAGGGTGCGCCTGTGTGCCCCGCTGGTGTCCCAGGGCAGCACAGTTATGTGGACCCTGGGGCTGCCCAAGGAGCTTAATCAGAGGATACACAGGGGCACAGGCCAGTGGTGGCAGAGGTCTGCTATGCCCACAGGCTGCTCTCCAGGTGGGCGGGCATGGCGAACGCCTCACCCAGTGCCGGGAGGTGGTGCTCACGACGGCCAAGGCCATCCCGGTGCAGGTGGATGGGGAACCCTGCAAGCTGGCTGCGTCCTGCATTCGCATCGCCTTGCGCAACCAGGCCACCATGGTGCAGAAGGCCAAGCGGAGGAGCTCTGTGCCCCTGCACAGCGAGTATGGCCTGGCCCCTGCCCCACCCCCCTGCCTGGTGGCCTATTCGACCGCCTGTCTTGCCCTTCCTCTGTCCCTCCCCTGATCACTCTCCCTCTGGCCCCTCCAGCCGCACTCAGCCCCTGGCTGGGGCTCCCTGAGCACTTGCCCGTCCCTGATGGCTCTCCCTCTGGCCCCTCTGGTCACGC